GCAGTGGTAGAGGCAGTGGGTGAGGCAGTGGGTGAGGCAGTGGTTGAGGCAGCGGTTGAGGCAATGGTAGAGGCAGCGGTTGAGGCAGCGGTTGAGGCAGTGGGTGAGGCAGTGGGTGAGGCAGTGGGTGAGGCAGCGGTTGAGGCAGCGGTTGAGGAAGCGGTTGAGGCAGCGGTTGAGGCAGCGGTTGAGGCAGCGGTTGAGGCAGCGGTTGAGGCAGTGGTTGAGGCAGTGGTATTTAATAACATATATGTTATTAATAATAATAATAATAATACATGTTATTAATAATAACATGTACTATTATTATTTATAACATATATGTTATTAAATACCACTGCCTCAACTGCTGCCTCTACCATTGCTTCAACTGCTGCCTCAACCGCTGCCTCAACCACTGCCTCTACCATTGCCTCAACCGCTGCCTCAACCGCTGCCTCAACCGCTGCCTCAACCGCTGCCTCAACCGCTGCCTCACCCACTGCTTCACCCACTACCTCAACTGCTGCCTCACTCACTGCCTCACCCACTGCCTCACCCACTGCCTCACCCACTGCCTCAACCGCTGCCTCAACCGATTCCTCAACTGATTCCTCAACCACTGCCTCTACCACTGCCTCTACCACTCCATTCGCACTCAATCTACAAGCACCAAACACAATGAATTATTGTGAAATGTTTGGAAGAGCACGGAGACTAATGCTCACTCCAGCATAAACAAAGCCACACTGATGATGTGTCAACCACCCCCTCATATTTTTGTACAATTTCCTTCTTCATTTCTATTGTATTTATTATTATTATTATTATTATTATTATTATTATTATTATTATTATTATTATTACTATTACTATTACTATTGTTATTATTAGCAGTAGCAGAAATGTTTGATTCTTTGCTGTGTTCAAGAGTAAACACATAATGTGACTGTCCAATACCTGTCCGAATAGCCATTCCAATATGCAGTCATGAATGGGTTTACATTATTTATACTGTAGTTTAATAGCAAATAATGAACAAACAAAACACTCACCACACAGTGGTGGGAGGGCTGGCTGCCAGTTGCAGGGGTCGGAGGGAGGGTAGTAGGGACTCGCAGTGGTTGAGGAAGTGGTGGAGGGAGTGGTATTTAATAACATACATGTTATTAAACCATAACATGTATGTATTTAGTACAATTTATGACGTTTTCATGTATTTTATGATTGTTCATGGTTCAACAAGTTAAGGAAGCAGTGTTTTATTATATTTCCCTACAACATATTGGGGTACCAAACATTTGGGATTTTTCAACATTCGCGAGGCTCTTGATCCCCTAACCCTTGCGAATGTCGAGGGAGACCTGTATACAGTATACAGTGGTACCTCAGGATACAAATTTATTTCATTCCAGAAGGCTGTTCGAGTGCCAATACTGAAAGAATTTGTTCCCATAAGGAGATATGTAAATTAGATTAATCCATTTCAGACCCCCAAAAATACACTTGCAAAAGCACTTACATAAACACATTTACATAATTGTTCGTGTTTTGAGCTGTTTGTATGCCGAGGTACCACTGTATAAGCATAACAAAAACAGCAGAAATTTCCATACAGTTATACATTTTACATCACAGTTTTCAAGCTTTTTTTTGCTCATGTTCAGTATGAGTCTCCTGCAGCAGTGTCCAGCAGTAGTCAACAATCAAACTGATCATTAGGCTTCCTTGATACAGTAGACTGTCATTTAACATGGTAGTTACATTCCTGAAAATGCTGTATTAGGTAGACTGTGTTAGGTGAACTAAAGCACTTATGGGAAAAATAGGGTTACGTTTCTCGGCGCCCCCAAAAAGCCAAACAACCTTTTTTTTTTTTTTTTTAGATCAACAGATTTTACAAAAATAAAAGTGAATATGTAATTGTAGTTCATTGTTTTGATGTATTGTGTTGTTTTCACTGCTTAAGATTACAAATGCAACAGAAATATTATTTCTTACCTTAAATTGTGGGTGCTTTTGTCTGTGGATGATTGTGGAGAGTGGAGAGTTATGCTGTGGCCTTACCGGGCTGAGGTGGATGGTAGAGGTTCTGGTACTAAAGTCGATGGTTGTACTCAAGTGTGCATAAATTCTGTAATGGATTTCTGTTCTGTTTTACCCAGCAGTACATTATACAACTGACGGTAAGGCATCAGCTGCTCTAGACACCGTTTCAGGGTCCTCTTCAGTGAAAAAGTCTAACTTTAAGTCAGTCAGTAAATCAGTCAAGTCAGTAAGTCAGTCAGTAAGTCAAGTCAGTCAGTCAAGTAAGTCAGTAAGTCAGTCAGTAAGTCAGTCAGTCAGTAAGTCAATCAGTAAGTCAGTCAGTCATCACACACTCATGTGTACCTCATTCTTACAGTTAAAAGTGAATATGGGAAAAAGTAAGGTGATGAGGATAACAAAAAAATTATGTAACGGAAGATTGAATATCAGATTGGAGGGAGAGAGTATGGAGGAGGTGAATGTGTTCAGATATTTGGGAGTGGATGTGTCAGCAGATGGGTCTATGAAGGATGAGGTGAATCATAGAATTGACGAGGGGATAAAGGTGAGTGGTGCACTGAGGAGTCTGTGGAGATAAAGAACTTTATCCATGAAAGCAAAGAGGGAAATATATGAGGGTATAGGTATACCAATGCTCTTGTATGGGTGTGAGGCATGGGTTGTCAATGTTGCAACAAGGAGAAGGCTGGAGGCAGTGATGTCATGTCTGAGGGCAATGTGTGGTGTGAGTATAATGCAGAGAATCTGTAGTTTGGAGATTAGGAGGTGTGGGATTACCAGAACTATTATCCAGAGGGCTGAGGAGGGGTTATTGAGATGGTTTGGACAAGTAGAGAGGATGGAATGAAATAGAATGACTTTGAGAGTAAACAAATCTGCAGTGGAGGGAAGGCGGGGTAGGGGTCGGCCTAGGAAAGGTGAGAGGGAGGAGGTAAAGGAAGTTTTGTGTGCGAGGGGCTTGGACTTCCAGCAAGCGTGCGTGAGCATGTTAGACAGGAGCGAATGGAGACAAATGGTTTTTAGGGCTTGACGTGCTGTTGGAATGTAAGCAAGGTAACATTTATGAAGAGATTCAGGGAAACCGGCAGGCCAGACTTGAGTCCTGGAGATGGGAAGTATAGTGTCTGCACCCTGAAGGAGGGGTTCCACTGTACACATAGTGTAATGACAACAGCTTGTTGGACTGTGTTGGTGGATAATAGGTTGATGGGTAGACTTGTGGATGTGCATTGTTTTTTCAAATTCATATTTTTATTTCTTTTATGTAGTACACAAATAATGTAATTCACATATATTAAAATATTGTTAGGCACAAATGAAAGCTTCTAGTATGCAATGCATATCGGGCAAACTAATCCTAATTCTTAAAGACTACTTAAGAACTAGATGTAGATTATTTAGTATAATTTCTTATATGTACAAAAAAGTGATGTATCTGAATGAACAACAGTACAATTTTAAAAGTATGCATTAAGATTTCAAACCGATTTGGTGATCTTCAGTTAAGTAGGTTTCTTAAGCAGTTAACTATTATATGCACAATAATAAAGGCAGCTAATGTATGAAAGGTACAATTTTAAAAGTATGATTTGTTGTTTCAAACTGATTCATTGTCTTCAGTTTTGTGGAGTGATTGAATAGAGATGATGAAGATACAGGAAGCTACTTACAGTAGGAATATAATGGGACAAGATGAGTAATTAATTTTCTGTGGGAGTTGGAGGAAAACTGGAAGAACAAGGACAGAGTCTATATCCCTTTTATATTGCATAAAACAGAAATATCCTGTACATAGGAGACTGAGAATTATGATGGCATTTTGGTTGGACTTGGATCATTAACTAGTCAGAGAAGCACGAAGGGAAGGAGCCAGAATGTAAATGGGAGCAAGGCAGGGGACAGGAGAATAGAATGAGAGGAGGGAATAGTATTATAGTAACAGTGATAGTAACAGTAGTAGTAGAGATGCAACAGTGGTAGAGGTGGCAGTAAGAAGGAAGTAGTGGAAGTGAAAAAAATGGGCAGAGAGTGGAGTGTTAACAAAGAAGTCTGTTCTCCAGTTCTATAAGTAAGTAAGTAAGTAAGTAAGTAAGTAAGTTTATTCAGGTATACACAAATACAGTTACATAGAATTATCATACATAGCAGCATATGTGTAGAGAACCTAGGATAACCCAAAAAAGTCAGACAGAGTGACTTATTTCCATTGGGACAAGAGAATAAAGGAGAAAGGAGAACAAAGGAGTACTGCAGGAGAACCAGTGGCCCACAGGGGTAGGACAAAATCTCTTCTGGAAAAAAAAAAAAAACATGAGACACAACCCACCTAGGCAGAAGACTGGAGAAGCAATAAAAATATAGAAAAGTTGAAAGGGTAGAGAGAGGAGGCAATAAAGATCAGGTAAAATCATGAGTGTTCTGAAGAATGGGGCATTTAACAGTGTAATGAGAAAGAAAGGCATTTACAAAGGCAAAGCCAGGATTAAGATTCATATTAGGAATGTTGTGTATAAGGGATGCTTCAACAAGACTGTGTCTGAAGTGTATAGTTTTGGCAGAGGACCAGTTAATAGGATGACTATGATCTCTGACATGACAGGAAAGAGCATTGTTAGTGTCGACAAGGCTAACATGTTTTGTGCTCTTTAAGTCTGCCAGAGAGAGAGAGAGCAACCAGTTTCTCCAAAATATTGGAGAGGACAAGAGGAACAGGAAATGGAGTAGACCCCAGAAGTATCAGTTGACATAAGTTTCAGTCTCCTACGTGCAGGTTATTTGTGTATTGTTCCAGGCAGAGTATTGTACCTTTCATATTCTTTATATGAAGGGCTGATAATATCATGTTTAGGGGAAGAGAAAATAAAACCACATGCTTAGGTTGAACCAAAGCTATAGTCAGAAGGGAAATAAGATACCTCTACTTCCTTTCTCAGAATATTACTTCTGCTGCTATATTAGATTTACTTTTTCAGCCGACCACACTGTAATTCAGGTTCTGGTGATCATCCTTTATATGTTAATGTTGATATGAAGAATGGTGGAACACAGACAACCTGGATAGATTCTCTCCAAGCTGCATTTGCTGGAATTCAGGTACAGTATGCACAGGCTTAACCCTTTCACTGTCTGTTGCATAGAGCTAGGTTATTGATGCCAGAGCCACTTTTGTAGATCTACGTTTCAAGCACAGCTCCCTCAAATATGCTGTGAGTGGTAAATTTTGGCCTAGACATGAGAGAATGGATCTGTGCATAAATGACACTGCCTGATGCAGTGCATGATGGACAAAGCAAATCTCAGACCTTGTTTGTGGTTTAAAATAGCAAGTTTGAGGTGTTTCTAAGATGGTTTTGCTATTTCTTTGTATCAATTGATAGAATGGAAGACATACTACTGAAATGAGTATGATTTGGTTTAGTTTCAGGACTGGAATTATGTTGAAATTGGGCTAAAAGTAGCAGAAATATTTAAGTTTTTACAGTTTTTCTTATAACACGTGCACCCCCCCAGTCTGTTTTATGGATTTTTACTAGGTCTCCTTCAATTATTGGGTTGTTTTCTCTTATTTCTGTTACTAAGAAATTTTCTTATCTACTTTCCCACATTCTTTTATGCAGTAGAAATATAACCATTGTAAACAGTAAAACCTCTAATTACTGGACCTTCATTAAATGGATTTTGGTAATTATGGACAAAAAAATTGGCTAGACATACATCGTAATCATTGGATAAAATGGAAGAGAGTTTGCAATTCCGGATTTTGTCCATAGCAATAGTGTCTGGTTGTCTTCTAAATCATTAGACCAAGCCCAATGACTCTAGCATTTGTTGGGTATGGGCCAGAGCGGCCATGTCCACAACCTGCCTGTTTTAATTTTTCCCCAAGTTATAGGCTTCCTACAACAGTTTATTGTTTGTGCTCTCTCGTACACTTGTTATTCAGACTCCAATTTTTCCCTGGATTTACAGTGTTTTTTGTGTCTGTTAACATGTTAAGTAAAGTGCAGTTAACAATTGTTTCTAAAGCAAGTGGTGGTGTCAAGAGGAAACATGCGGTTCTCAGTGTTTCAGTGTTAAGGAGAAGCTTAAACTAAAGTAAAAGGACACAAGTGCAACTAATGTGACATTTATTGTGGCAACGTTTCGCTCTCCAGGAGCTTTATCAAGCCATTACAAACAATACATGGACACAGAGGGTATATAAAGGCTCAGAGTGAGGTGTAATACTAGTGAGGTACCATTTCGATGTTCACTAGTGGTAGTAGTAGTAGTAGTGGTAGTGACAAAAGTAATACAATATGGTAGAGCAATTAATTCGCACATGAGTAAAAGGATATAAAAGCTATTACTGTACTTGGGTAACATAAAAATAGGTTGGACAAATATAGACTGGAATGAGGCAGCTTGTTTCAGTGTTCACTCTCTGTGCTTTGTGTAGTATAACAGGAGAGACTATGTGATGGCAGGGTTTACTGTTTTCAGGAGGATTCTTGCTAAGACTTCGGAGATGGCGAAGCTGCCGTTGTTTTGTTTAATTGTATTCGAAACAGCGATCAGTGCTGATTCGAGGCACTTGCGTCTGCGGAAATTAGTTTATTTGATCACTAATTGGGCGTCTCTGAATTTCATGAGATGATTGGTGGAATTTCGGTGTTGTACACAGGCGTTGTTCAAGTTATCGTTCCTACATGCGTAAATGTGTTCATTGAGGCGGGTGTCGAGGTTTCTGGCTGTTTCACCTACGTAAATCTTGTCACAGCCTCCACAGGGTATAGTGTAAACTCCTGCATTGACTGGTTCGTGGTGCTTGGATTTTGTCCTGGTTATATCCTTATATCCGGAGATTTCAACTGTTTTTCTTTCAATAACAAGCTCTACAAACAAACCTACGGCATGGGAATGGGGTCCCCCATAAGTGCCGTCCTAGCCAACTTATACATGGAACACCTAGAGTCCGAACACTTCGCCAACATCATCCCTTCAAGCGTCACTTGGTTACGTTATGTGGACGATGTCCTCGTAATAACTCCAAAACGTTTTGATGTACGGGATCTTCAGGCAAGGCTCAACGCAGTTGAACCAGCGATCCAGTTTACACTAGAAGAAGAGTCCAATGACAAGCTACCTTTCCTCGATGTCCTCATTCACAAAGTAGACAACAACCTAAGATTTCAAGTTTATCGGAAACCCACCAATAAAAATGATCTCACACACTTCTATTCCAGTCAAGATACCAAGACCAAAAGAGGCATCATCATCGGGTTTTTCCTAAGAGCATACCGAATTTGTAGTCCTGAGTTTCTTGACGAGGAGTGTACATACATTCACCAAACATTCACTGAGTTACATTTTCCTTCTTTTTTCATCAAAGATTGCAAGAAAAGAGCTCTTCAGATCATAAATTCTCCACGCATCAACACCACTCCCAGCAAAGTTATAATTCTTCCCAACAGCCAGGTTGCACTGAACGTCTCAAAAGTACTTTCACAAGCTAACACCAGAGTCGCCATCGCTTCTAGCACTTCAATAAAGGATATAACCAGGACAAAATCCAACCACCACGAACCAGTCAATGCAGGAGTTTACACTATACCCTGTGGAGGCTGTGACAAGATTTACGTAGGTGAAACAGCCAGAACCTCGACACCCGCCTCAATGAACACATTTACGCATGTAGGAACGATAACTTGAACAAGCCTGTGTACAACACCGAAATTCCACCAATCATCTCATGAAATTCAGAGACGCCCAATTAGTGATCAAAGAAACTAATTTCCGCAGACGCAAGTGCCTCGAATCAGCACTGATCGCTGTTTCGAATACAATTAAACAAAACAACGGCAGCTTTCGCCATCTCCGAAGTCTTGGCAAGAATCCTCCTGAAAACAGTAAACCCTGCCATCACATAGTCTCTCCTGTTATACTACACAAAGCACAGAGAGTGAACACTGAAACAAGCTGCCTCATTCCAGTCTATATTTGTCCAACCTATTTTTATGTTACCCAAGTAATAGCTTTTATATCCTTTTACTCATGTGCGAATTAATTGCTCTACCATATTGTATTACTTTTGTCACTACCACTACTACTACTACCACTAGTGAACATCGAAATGGTACCTCACTAGTATTACACCTCACTCTGAGCCTTTATATACCCTGTGTCCATGTATTGTTTGTAATGGCTTGATAAAGCTCCTGGAGAGCGAAACGTTGCCACAATAAATGTCACATTAGTTGCACTTGTGTCCTTTTACTTTACATATTGTCGGTAATTCTACCAACTTTATTACAAGCTTAAACTAATAAAGAAGGTTGAGTCTGGTGTCTCAGTGGTACGGGTATGTGAGGAATGTGGTGTTAAACGAACATTTTCCGACATCTGTAGAAAAAGGACAAACTTACAGTCTGTGCTCCTAAGTTTAGTGTAGATGCTAGCCATAAAGGTTCAGCAGTTGGTTGTACATTTTCACTAGTAAAGCTTTACATCTATGATTCAGAATAAAAGTTATTTTGAGTCACCACCAACAGTCATGCAGTTTACATCTCATTTCTCCACCACAAAAAAGATAAGTAAAATTATGTACTGTACTATAAAATTACTATACAGTACTGTACTGTAGTACTATAGGTTGCAATACCTGTATTCTTAGTGTTGTATTCTGGTCCACTGAATCAGAACTTTGTCCGTTTGTTATGATCATGAGAAATTAATTTCCTAATTCAGAAGTGACAGGAAATTGTCAGTATCATACACCCCCTCTTCCCTAGTAGAGTTCACTGTACAGGGGACGATTGTGAATACTGATGACCACTGTGAGTAATGATGACCATAATGAATACTAAGGATCATTGTGAATACTGAGGACCATTGGTGGTAGGAAATGTTACATTACATATGACAATATTGAAACTGTTGTATAGTGGGCAAAAATGTAAACTGAATCAAATTTCATTCTTGGTGCTTCAGGTTCTAGCTGGAGACATGGAGGAAGCCATATGCACACATGCTCTCTACTACACTATCTGGAGAAAGTACGGTGTACTACCTGAAAGATTCAACTGGCAGCGTATTTCTCCCGATGTCATGTTCTACCCACTCCGACCAGAATTTGTAGAGTCTACATACTTACTTTACCAGGTAATTTGTTTAGCTTGTATTAAGTTTTATTTCTTTATTCCGCATTATCCCATGATACAATAAAATCTCTCCATCTTTTAGTAATTTTTGTTAGTACTGTACTTTCAAGAGGCCAAAAGTACCAATTTTCATGAAATTATGAAAATTTGAAAAGAAAATAATAGCAAAATTGGAAAACAAGCTCCCAACATTCTCCTAGGAATGAGTAACATTTCAACATTTAAAACATTGTATTTAGACATTTCTAAGCATGTACAACATTTCAGCATTTACAACATTTAATTTAGACTTTTCTTAGTAAAGTGTTCCACTGGTCCTCCTTGGCAAAAATGTCAAGATGAGTGGGAGTCTGATACATATATTTTATTTTTATGTAAAATTGTTTAGTTTCTTGGCTTTTATTTTAGTACCGGTAATCTTATCATTTGTCATATTATTGTCCTTCCTTAGCCTTAAAAGGCTGAGAAACTGAATTCTTTGTTTGCCACCTAAAAAAATAATTACACTTTATTTACATAAATGTTGTACAGGTCCTTCATCACAAATCTGGCATCACTGGGACCTGTAGTGTTCTGGATTACTGAGTTTGCTGGATTACAGAGTGGTTAGGTTAGAATGCACTTAATAAAATTAGCCAACTTAGACAAAGTTCATTGAACATCGGCAAAAATCGAACATTTCCGCTACTTTGAGCTCAATTTCAAGGTACTTTTCGTCATGAAACTAATCAAAATCATATCTATTTCTGTAAAATATCTTCCATTCTATCAAATGAGACCAAAAAAAACAAGAATATAGCAGTAAAAACCATACGGAAATATACCACAAAGAGGCAGCTAATGGCTGAGAAGTGAACTCCCTTATTTATCGTCCATTTTTTTTTTTTGTGTACATGAAGAAGCATCTTTCATCATACATTGCCCAAGTTTCAATAAGATAGCCCAACAAACAACTGAGAAAAAGAAATATTTACCAAAAATCATATATGGAAAGCCCAAGCCAGGTACTGGAAATAAGTCACTTTGTCTGACTTTTTTGGGTTATCCTAGGTTCTCTATACATATGCTGCTATGTATGATAATCTGTGTAACTGTATTTGTGTATACCTGAATAAACTTACTTATTTACTTACTTCTATTCTGTCGACTGAGAAAAAGAAACTGCCCATTCACCTTTCTCAACTACCCAGTAGAGTGGTCAGAAATTGGCAATTTGGCCAATTTCACTCAAATTTCAACAGATGCCAGTTTCAAAATAGGGTCCGAAATAAACAGTGCAGACATTCCTGGCACTAAAATAACATTTTCTCTGTTTATTAGTCATGGCTCCAGGCCCCTCTTATATTACTCTTGCTTACCATTTGGAATTTTTATTCACACAAAAAATAAAAGATTTCTTGTTATGCAGACTACTGCATTATTGTAATAATTGTTTTTTTTTTTTTTTTTTTTTTTCAACAAGTATAAATAATAAAACATACCATGGGTGGGGTTTGAGTCTGCTGTCAGAGAGTTTCAAAACTCCAGTGGCTAACGCGATGGTATGGAGTTTTGAGACTCTGACCACGGGTTCAAACCCCACCTGTGGTATGGTTTGTTTGCAGTTGTGTCATTATGATTTCATGAGTCTTGTATAAGTAATGTCAACCCATTCTTGACTGCGTATTGGAATTTAGACTGGTAGGCGCACACGTATTAGACAGTGACGTCTTTTTATTACTCTTGAACATCGCTAAAGAATCGAACATTTCTGCTGCTGTGAGCACAATTTCAAGGTACACCTACCATCCGACTTACGACCGAGTTCGGTTCCGAGAAACCGGTCGTAAGTTGAAATGGTCGTAAGTCGAACTTTACTACTGAATATCAACAAAACATTTTTGTAATGACTTATAGTTTATTTCCCAGAAATTTGGCATAAAAAACACGATCGTAAGTCGAGTGGTCGTAAGCCGAGCAGGTCGTAAGTCGGATGGTAGGTGTACTTTTCATCGTGAAAACAATCAAAATCATATCTATTTCTGTAATATATCTGCCATTCTATCAAATGAGACCAAAAAAATGAGAATAAAACCATAAAAGCCATACAAAAATGCAGTGGACCCTCAGTTAATGATTTTAATCCGTTCCAGAGAGCTTGTCCTTAACTGATTTTATTGTTATCCAATTTAATTTTCCCCATAAGAAATAATGGAAATCCAATAAATCCATTCCAGACACTCAAAAGTACAGTGGACCCCCGCATAACGATCACCTCCCAATGCGACCAATTATGTAAGTGTATTTATGTAAGTGCGTTTGTACGTGTATGTTTGGGGGTCTGAAATGGACTAATCTACTTCTCAATATTCCTTATGGGAACAAATTCGGTCAGTACTGGCACCTGAACATACTTCTGGAATGAAAAAATATCGTTAACCGGGGGTCCACTGTATTAACATTTTTTTTTCACATGAAATATACATTTTCCTACACAGAAAACAATGAGACATGAAGAATAAATACATGAGGAATAAATGACACCTACCTTTTTGAAGATTTATTGATGATTGATGAGATGGGAGAAAGGGAGATGATGGAGGTGTATTATTGTTTGGAAGGGGAATCCCCTTCCATAAGGACTTTAGGTAGCAAGTCCTTTTCCAGGGTTACTTCCCTTCTTTTTTTTAATGCCACTGGGAACAACTTGACAGTTACTGAACCTCTGTCGCACCAAAAATCTGTCCATAGAGCTCTGTTTCTGGCGTTCCCTAAAACGGGACACAACATTGTCATTGTAAAAGTCACCAGCACAGCTTGCAACAGCTGTGTCAGGGTGATGTTCATCCATAAAGGCTTGCACCTTTGTCCACATTGTAAAAAATGTCCTTAATCGTTGAAGAAGGCAACTTCCTCCATCTCTCTTCTCCCCCTTTGAAGCAAATTTCCTCAGCTGTGGTCTGTTGCTGGGTTTCTGTTGCAGATGCTCTTGCAGCTCATCAGTGGTTAGCTCTTCATCGTCGTTTCCCCCACCAACTCTTCCACATCCTCGCCACTAACCTCCAACTCCATGGACTTCCCAATGACATAATACATTCCACAACTGGTATAGGCTCCTCAGGGTTAGCCCCAAACCCTTCAAAATCTCTTCTGGCCACAATTTTCTCCAAGCAGAGTTCAAAATCTGCAAGTCACTCCCTCCAAGCCTTAAACCCATAAGGTTTTTTGCAACTGAGGATACCGAAGTGATCTTTCCAAAACTTTCTTGGGGTCAAGTCAGTGTCTGAAGTCACTTCAAAGCACTTTTGAAACACTGCTTTGGTGTACAGTTTTTTTAAATTTGAAATGACCTGCTGGTCCATGGTATGGAGGAGAGGAGCGGTATTAGGAGGCAAAAACCTGACTTTTATGAAACTTGACTCCCCCACAATTCGCTCTTGCAAGTCTGGAAGAGGAACAGGAGCATTGTCTAAGGAGGCACTTGAGGTCCAATTTATTTTCCAGGAGGTATTTTTTCACAGTGGGGCCAAACATGTGATGGAACCAATCATGGAAAATGTCCCTGGTGACCCATGCCTTACTGTTTGCCCTCCACATCACACACAAATTAGCCTTGACAACACTGTTTTTCTTGAACACTCTGGGAGTTTCAGAGTGATACACGAGTAAACGCTTCACTTTGCAATCCCCACTAGTATTACTACAAAACATGAGAGTTAACCTGTCTTTCATAGGCTTGTGTCCTGGGAGTGCCTTTTCCTCCTGAGTAATGTAGGTCCTGTTTGGCATTTTCTTCTAAAACAGGTCTGTTTCGTCACAATTGAACACTTGTTGGGGTTTTAATTTTCAGTCTCTATGTACCCCTTAAAGTCCTGCACATATTTTTCAGCCACTTTTTGGTCACAACTGGCACCCTCACCATGCCTTATTACACTGTGTATGCCACTACGATTCTTAAATCTCTCAAACCAGCCTTTGCTGGCCTTAAATTCATTAACATCAGCACTAGTTCCAGGCATTTTCTTAACCCTTTGAGGGTAAACAGGCCCTCTCCGAGACTCGTTCTCGGGGTCGGCCAAATTTAAAAAAAACAATAATAATTTTTTCTAATGAAAAGATAAGAGAATCTTTTCCCGATCATAATGACACCAAAATTATGAAATTTGATGGAAAACTTAGGGAATTATGCTCTCGCGAAGTTAGCGGTCTCGGCAATGTTTACGCATCGGCGATTTTGCCCAATTTGAGCCCCATTTTTGGCCAATTCCACTGCACTAGTCGACAAAAAACATGAATATTTCGCTAGAACTCCATTTTTTCTATCGAATGAGTGCAAGAAACCATCCATTTACCAATTTCAACTATCCAATACAGTGGTCAGAATTTAGCAATTTTGCCAATTTCACACAAATTTCAAAAGATGCCAATTTCCGAATAGGGTCCAGAATAAACAAGAAAGACATTCCTGGCACTAAAATAACATTTCCTTTGTTCATTAGTCACGTCTCAAGGCCCCTCTTACATTCTTTTGCTTTCCACTTTGAATTTTTATTCTCACAAAAAATAGAAGATTTACTGTTATGCAGACTACTGCATTAGTGTAAAAAATGGTATAAATAATATTGGCGCACTTGCAAAAGAATATTAGACTCACCAGTTGACGTGTATTGGACGCTTGGCATGATTTGTTTACTTTTGAACTTTGGTAAAAATCGAACATTTCTGCTACTTTGAGCTCAATTTCAAGGTACTTTTCATTGTAAAACCAGTCAAAATCATCTCAATTTCTGTAATATGTCTTCCATTCTATAAAATGAGACCAAGAAAACTAGAATACAACAATAAATGCCATACGAAAATACAGTGCAAAGTCGCTGTTTTATTCCAAAAAAACGGTCAAGTTTTTTTTTTCTCATTATGCACTGTGTGCTGCAGGATTTTTTTTATACTGTGCACACTGACCACATAGACCCATTCTTTCATATGTAGGCCTACCAGCTTTCTCCCACTAGATTTGAGGGC